CCAAGTTACCGTAATGTAAAGATCAACCATAAAACCTCCTATTTTAGAAAGAACAGACATCACATTCTACCATTCTCACAGAAACAAGTCTTTTGTTAGTTCTTCAGATTGTAGCTTTTTTGTGACTATATACGGTGTAGAAAGAAATGTTTCCAATTCGGCAACATCATTCCACAGTCGTTCTGTTAGTGAAGCATTAAGGTCACACACATCTTCTAAAAAAGTTCTTAATTCTAACAACCTTTTTATCATCATATATGTACTTTCCCATTGCGTTGCTTGAACAAAATTGCTCTTTTCCTGCTCGCCTCCTAAGAATGGCACCAATTTAGGGAGTTCTTGCTGCTTGCCTAAATTTACCAACGAGATTTGTACCATGAGGTTCCTACAATCCATCTCTAACATAAAGCTGCAAGGTGTGGACTGCAAACGTATTTGCTTGATTTGGCAGAGATTCGATGTGTCTTCAGCAACATTATCTAAACATCATCCATCCTCCTATCTTATATTTATTTAATATGTCAATAAAATAGGAAATAACTAAATATTTATTAATCTCTATAGTCCATAAATAAAAATAATAATTAAGTTTATTAAATTTCTTTTTCAATTCACTTAATTTCATTTCAAAATCACACTGTCCACCAAAAATTGGACTCAAAGTTGACGTGTTTTTAGCGACACCAGCTCCGACTCTTTTTACCCAAAACTCTGACACTGATTCCGACTCCATTAATGCTGCAAGAAACATTGTTCATTAAGTCATCCTAAGAAACCTTTCTACTGTCTAAATTATTACATAAGCTATTGATTAACACTTTTTGAATAAATTATTTTATTGTAAGGAATATTTTGATGATATTTATTTTATAACAAGCTTAAAATAGAAAAAATAATAATAATAATAATAATAATAATAATACATCAGAAGGGGGGACAGGAGTCCGTCAAACTGAATAATCGCCGTTGTGAGTTATGAAATTGCATAATCTAATGACACCTTTAATAGTGGCAATAACGGATGCAGTTTTTAATTAAAAAAGAAAATTTACAAAGGGAAAAAAGATACTGTAATAAAAATACAATCGAAATAATTTAACTTTTGAAAAAGTAACCGGAAAATAACCTTTTGAAAGTAATCGGTATGATTAATTAATTGCCCAAATGGGTTTTCATCCGCAGAGAACCCATTGGCGGCGTTGCATTTTTACTCGCCAAGCTCACGGTTCATCGACAATGAGCCGAGCCGTAAACAGATTCTTTGCCGTAAACATATTTTGTTAACGTGATTTTTAGTGCATGTAAATTCAAGTTAGCACACAAAACAATATATTAAGCATGTGGTAGTAAAAATTCACAGATAATAAGCATGTAGATGTAAAACTAACCGGTTAAACGTGATATATTCATTTAAAAATATAAATTAGTATTAATGTACTGAAATTAACCGGTTAAACGTGATAAACGAAAAAAAAATTGTCTTAAATTCCAGTTAACACAGAAAACAATATATTCCTTACACCAGCAATGGTTTGCTAATTTTGATGACCATGGTGATGCATCAAACTATTCTGTCATCTTAGATAATCAATAATATTTTTGATTTCAATTTAATCATCTATTTATGTCACACCTGCCATCCTCTGAAAGGTTATTGTTAGAAAAGCATTAACATTATCTTGTTAAAATTTTACGCCATCAAAATTGATTTATTCTCATAATTTTAGATGACAATAACTAATAATACAAATAAAAGCATTACTTATTTATTTAAAATGCACATGCACATTTTTGCGGCCTACGGAAACAAATTATTTTAGAGGTTGGAAGCCTCATGATTCTGCTCATAGTTCTTAGAGCTATTAATAATTAAGAACACAACGTGAACAGCCATGTTACAAATTAGCATTCACTCCTCCCGCCGTAATTTATTTCTTTCATCCCGAAGAGAACTGGCATCTATCTACGAAAATATTTCTATCTATTCATTGTTAAAAAATTCAAAAAAATAATAATAAATAAGAGATGAATAATATAAATCTGCAAATGCGAACAACAACAGTGATAATTCAACAAAATGAACGCAAGAGGAATGGTTGCAAACTTCGAACAAGCGAATAGGATAAATCCTGCGGGGTTACCAGGTTTGAACTATTATCGCCAAAGTTGGCGATGTTTACATTTACCGGGTTCTCTGCGGAAGTGCTTCAGCTAAAATTTTCGGCTGATCTTTAGAATATGGTAACTGGTAGTTTGGCGACATTTTGAAGGCGATAAAGGTTACTACCTGAGACTTTGGTAATAATGTGAGCAGTACTCAGTTTCGATTATGCATTATTTTGTGTGAGGGAAATGAGAGATCATGGGATATGTCATGTGATATTAATGGACGAATTACGGTTCTTTAATCGGAAAAGGAGGGAATTTGGAAAAATATCTGTGGCTGTATATTACTTTGTATTAAGCTTCATTGTGTGTTGTTTGAAGTAGGGTTGAATAATTTTGGGATTGTATGGCGCTGTCTAAAGTGAAAAATCGTATGAATGTTGGAAGATGAAGGTTTTTAAACATCTTGCTGTGAACCACAAATATTATTTTAAAGATCCGGAAAACAGGTTGCACATACCAATACATAGAGGGCACGTGGGAGTGCTATAAAAAGTGCCATTCCGAGGCATTGTGATAAAGAGAATTTTGCTTTTATTCAGCAGAGGAAGTGTGGAGGAAAATTTCGCAGAAAAATCGTTCAATAATTTTATTGAATACCATAATAAAAGTGTATCCCACCATGTAAGCAAGATTCTGAAGAAGATTAGGTAAGTTAGTATTTTAATTATTTGAGGATATTATTTTTATGCATTGTTCTAAATGTAAGGTGGAAGTAAAGTAATTTGGTATTATTGGGAAAATTGTTATTAGCAATGATTTAGTTTAAAGTAATTAGGATTGTAAGCTAATTTTTATTAATTTAATGTATGTGCTTATTTATATTTTAAGTAGTGTTTTTGAATTATTTAATTATATTTTAATTAAATGATAGTTATTTTGTGAATTTTATGTTTGTAGGAATTTGGTATACGTTTTAGTTGAAGTAAACGTGCGTGGAAATAATTTAAATATTGACACTAAGTATTTGTAATGCTTGCGGTATGAATTCGTTGGTGACATTTATAATATAATAGATGATTTAGAGGTAAAGTTTTTGGATATTTTATTTATTTTATATGTGGAAATGTTCATATTTGGAAAGGGTATATACTTTTTTTTCGCGATCAGGTAATTTCATATATGTTTCTTTTTAACCGGGTTTAAATTCAGAAATTGTCATGTATTTTCGTGAAATTTTTCTAATTTATGAGAAAAAAGCAGTGTACACGGATATAGTGAAGAGTGTGCGCAATGCCATTTTTGTGGTGGCGGGGGAAAAAAAATATAGAGGTTTGCTGTAGGAGAGTTGGTCGCCAAAAAATCGCCAAGTTACCATAATCTAAAGATCAACCATATTTTCTTATTGTAGTAATAAGTCATTTTAATAGAATGCTTACATTAAGGGTTGTTTCTTCCCATTCCTTCAGAATAAATGCTATTTTTAGGTTTCTCAAAGAGAGATAGGAAATATTAATAAAAATGAGTCAACTAAATTTAGAGCTAAACATTGAGGCTAAAGTGCAGAATCGCCCACTGATTGCCGTTTGTTTGGCGCTTTTTTTACAAGAGTAGGAAGAATTGGATTCTTTTTCAATTTTCTTTGACTTTTTAACCGGAAATAGGTCATGTCATTTTTGTGCAATTCTGGGATGTTTTTTTAAGTGAAAATAGGTCGATGTGTACATGGATACCGAGTATGTGCAACTCTTAAAAACGCGCCAAGCAGTGGGCGATTCTGCACTTTCCCCAACAATGAAACGGAAGCACTTCCACACAGGATCCGTTATATGTAAACATCGCCAAAATTGGCGAAAACAGTTCAAAGTTAGTAACCCGGCGAATTCGGTGGTCGTATATAATTAAAGTATATTGCTATATATATACTTTAATTTATATGCTTTATAATGTTTAACTCATTAATATTATGTCTATTCCTAGTAAGTCTAATTTTTATCCTTTAAATATTATGTTTCACTGTTTGATATTATTTTTTGCCAGCTAACTCTAATTTATATGTGTTTAATATATTTCTTCATAATTTTTATGCTTTAAATATCATATTTAACCTTTTGATATTTTTTTCTGCGGCTAACACAAATTTAGATGCGTTTAATATGTTTCTTTAATTTATATGCTTTAAACATATCACGGATCACCTGTTTAATTATCTTGCAATATGTTTGTTTAATATATAATAATATATAACTTAATTTCTATGCTTTAAATATCATGTTTAAACTTTTGATAATTTTTTTCTGCGGCTAACTCAAATTTAGATGCGTTTTATATGTTTCTTTAATTTATATTACGGTTAACCTTTTTAAATATCTTGTAACGTAACTGTACACCGCTAAACTAATGGCCGATTAGCCGTTGACGAGTACATACGCTTCGCCGCCAACGGATCCTCTCCGGAAGAAAACATAATGAAACTCAATAAAAATGTTGTTAATTACAAAGAAACCTGAATAATGCAAAAGTACGTTCCAAGATTTAAGGCTCTATTTGTGTTGTAAAAATCTTGCGAATATTCGCATGACAAAATTTAGAACCAATAGTTTATGACCTGATACTTCAATCTAAAATTGTAGATTGCTTTACTACTTGATCGAAGCAGCAATAAACTAGTTATTGCTTATTCATTCCCTAATTCCAGATATTGATACTCAGTACTGAAGTTCACAGTGAACTGTAAAATTGAATTTAGCGGTCAATCTCAGCTTTTAAGAAACTAATTCATAAAAAAACTTTAATTTGTAGTAATTTAAATCCGTTTAAAGGATTATGCCTTTAGTATATAAGTTGATAAATAATCATGCAAATTCATAAATAATAGTATATAATATTCTTACTTTCTCGATAAAAAATATCGAATGTCGTACAAATAACTATCAGAACAACTCAGGCGCCAAGCAAAAATTTTGAGAGACGCAAAACCTTTATTACTGTATACAGTACTTTATTTGTCTGTACACAGCTGCTTTCCAGTGGCGGTTTCTCGAAAGATTTTGACAGCAAATTAACGATAAAATATTTTAATTACACAATTTAGGCTTCAAACGTTTCCATGTGTGTTTTTTCGCAAAACGAGATGTGTAATTCGAAAAAGATTGTTAGATGGCGCTTAAGTCGCTTCTCTTTTGTGCAGATTTCTGAACTGCATACATTAAGCTGAAGTTGGCCTTGGCTAAATATATTACCATGTTGGAAGGCGACAATACACCTTTTTAAAATTTTCTAAAACCCGATTTTTCAATTTTCTGATTATTTTTATAGCCCAATCATTTCAGACACACATTAGCGTGGCAGATAAAAACCGGTATTTTGATTTGTGATCTGACTTCGTACATCCAAAAATGGAGTTGCTTAGCTCTTCGGAAATGTTTGATTTTGTTCAAGGAGGCGTAAATTCTCGCTGTATTACTGAAGCAGAGAGAATTTCAGAAAGCGGATTATTTAGTAATGCACGGGATTTTACTTGAAAAATCCAATGTACAAATTTTGGCTTCCTATTTAAGGATAAGTTCTATAGCTTCCTAATCGCATGAAATCGAAGGACATTTTATTGTTGAAAAAAGAGAAATAGAATTTTAAAAAAAAATTCTTTAAAGGGCCACATTTTGGATTTCGTGTGTTGAAAGTCAGCCATTGCCATTTTTAAATAAAAATATGCCAGCAGAAGAAGGCGAGATGAAGCGTTACTTCTACTTTAATTTTGTTTTGACACATCATTATCGCTTGCTTATTATGTTGTAGCAGACGAGATTTGGAGTTGTTGCTGTTCGTTAGAGAAATTGTTCTTTCTGTCTACGGCGTTGCTTTATTCCTGCGATTTTGTGAAGTAAGGGAAAACGACATTACTCTCATTACTGAAGCTGATTGGGATAAGATGAAAGAAGATTTTGAAGAGCAATTAAATATCAAAAAATATCGTGGAAACCTAAGTGGAGGTACACTGACCATAAGAGTTTGTGACTCAGACCATTACCGCACAGTTACTGAATACCTAACTAAACTACATATTCCTTTTCATACTTTTAAACTCAACCGTGAAAAGCCTATCAAGGCAATAATTAAAAAACTTCTAAAAACAGCTAATATGGAACTAATCAAAAACGAAATTGCCCAAGAAGGTATCCCAATTCAAAAAATTCGACAAGTAATTCACACTATTGAAGGAAAGAAGTTCATCTTCCTGTTTTTATAGCAGAATGTACTAGAAATAAAGAAGGTAAAAGAATATATGATCTAAAGAAACTCAGAGGTCTGGATGTCTTTATCGAGCCTTTTAAAGCTCGCCCTGGACCCATGCAGTGCCAAAGGTACAGGCGTACATGGGACAAATGTCACTATAAACCTCGCTGTTTAAAATGTGCAGAGCCTCATGAAACATTCACTTGTAAACAAACAAAAAATGACAACAAACCCCCTGTCTGTGCCCTCTGTGGGCAAAATCACGTTTCTTCCTTCAAAGGTTGCAGTAAACATCCTTATAATGTTCAGAAGCAAATCGAAGAATTTAAAGCTTTAAAAGAAGAAAAGAAAAAGAACAATTTAAATTTAACAAAAAAGATTTTCCTTCACTCCCTGAGAACAAACCAAAAAATGCATGGAATACTTCCAAGGAAAATGAAAACAATAATAAAACAGAAGACACAAACTCAAACCCACTTGGCTTTTTTAACTGGATAAAAATCCAATTCACTCAAGTTAAAGAATTCTTCCAGAAATTTAAAACAGCAAAAACAATATTTGACAAACTAGAGGTCGGTATGGCGGCCTTCGAATATTTCTCAAATCTAAACTATGAATTTTAATCAAACTCATAGTCAAATAAATTTTATCTCAGCTACAAATAGCTTCTTAAAGATTTGTTACTATAATGCAAACGGCATCAGATACCAACAAGTGGAAATTTCAAATTTTCTTACTAGACATAACATTGATGTTATGCTAGTAAATGAAACCCATCTCCGCTCTTGCGACAAATTTAAAATACAAGGCTACCGCATCTACAGAAAACAGACTAGACATAAGAGAGGAGGAGGAAACGCAATTCTCATTAAAAACCATATCAAAACAGCCAAATATGATTTAAAACCCTGCTTGTACTATAGAAAATGCTGCAGTACTTATCTATAGTGGTTTTAGAGAACCTTTTCTTTTTATCTCCGTCTACAATCCCCCCTCAAGCACTCTTGATCTCAATAATCTGAAACTACTTACTGAAAATAACTACCCCACCTTAATAGCAGGTGATTTAAATGCTAAACATTCCTCTTGGAACTGTAGAGTCACAAATAGAAATGGAGAAAATTTAAACAACTTCATCCACAATAGTAACATCAATCTCATTGCTCCCAATCACCCAACGCACTATACGCACAACGGACTAGGAGATATTTTAGATATAGTTTTGATGAAAAACCTTCCTAATATTCCTAATCTTGATGTTCTCCCAGAACTTTCGTCTGACCATCTCCCTATAGTCTTCAATTTCTATGGATTTTATCCCCCTCTCCCTAAAGCTCATACAAAAGTTAATTGGTATATGGTTACCGAACAGCTAAATTCTGTAAACAGCAGAGCCACACTTCGTTATGACTGCGATATTGAGCTGGAAATCACCAGATTAAACTCCAAAATTCAAAACGCTATCAATAATGCTACCTATACAGTCAAGAATAAAAATCCCTATGGCATCCCAGAAGAAATTAAATCCCTTATACAAGAAAGAAATAGACTTAGAAAAAGATGGCATATTACTCGCAATCCTACTGAAAAACGTCATATTAATTATTTAAACAGAAAAATAAAAGAAGACATCGCCACCCATCGATCAAATTCGTGGGATAATTTCCTAGAAAACATGGATCTTTACCCAAACTCTGTTTGGAAAGTAGCTAAATCACTCAGAAATGTTTCACCCAATCAAATTCACCCCCTGTATCACATGGGCAAATTTCACCACTTCGAAGACTCCATTGCTGAAATTCATGCAAAAGAATTAGAAAATATTTTTAAACAACATGAAAATAATAATTCTGATCACGAAAAAGATATTAATTACTCTGTCAATAGCATCCTCAACAGTCCCAGCATTAATTTTTTTACGCCTGCATCTCCAAACGAAGTTCAGCAAATTATTAAAAAATTAAAGAAGCGCAAAGCTAAAGGATATGACATGATTTCTAATGAAGCGTTGCAAGCTTTACCTAGAAGATGCATAGTCTTAATTACAAATATTTTTAATGCTTGTATTAGACTCAGCTACTTTCCATCGCAGTGGAAACACTCGATCATTGTTACCATCCCGAAACCAGGAAAAGATCCAAAGCTAGCAAAAAATTACAGACCCATCAGTCTTCTGCCAGCGCTTGGAAAAGTTTTCGAACGAGTACTTAGTGCTCAGCTCACCAATCATCTAGAACGCCTTAATCTAATAGACAAGCATCAGTTTGGATTCCGCAAAGGCCACAGTACCACACATCAAATATTAAAAATTTTATTAATTTAGTTATGAATTTGGAATGTGAAACTCCTAAACGTTCTTCTGGCAAGCGTCAGAAGAAGCGAAAGTTTTATGGTAATCTTTTTACAAGACCAGAGTTGCAAAACATTTCTGTAAGTGCTTCATCAAGAAAACGTATTTCTAGTTGTTTTGAAAACGTAAGTGCTGATTCTAAATTTAAAGGATATAGAATTTTGGATATCGAAATTTTATTCAGTAATATTTCCAAGTATCTGTGTTGTAAACAATGTGGATCAGATGTACAAGTGTGCGAAAACAACACTAATGGATTATCTTCAAAATTTTTCTGCTTTGCGATACTTGTGGTGAACTGACTTCTTTTTATTTCTTCGTCTATGATGGGTGACAAGAAAAACATTCCAGAAATTAATGAAAGATTTATGTATGGAATGAGATGTATTAGTCAAGGTCTTGCAGGTATGCGCACATTTTGTGGTGTAATGGACTTACCACCACCTATCCAAAAATCTGCATATTGTAGAAAATTAAGAAAAATGCTGTCGACAACTTCAAAAGTTGCTGAAATGTCTATGTCGTATGCTGCGGAAACAAGAAATTGAAGCAACTGGCTGCTCAGACCTCACAGTTAGTGGGGATGGATCATGGAAAACGCGCGGCCATTCATCACGCGTGGGATTTGCGAGTGTAATTGGTGCAGAAACTGGTAAAATTTTAGACATTGAGGTACTTTCATCATACTGTAAAGGTTGTGAATCTTGGAAAGGGCCAAAGTATGGAGCACAATATCTTTTATGGAAAGCAAATCATGAACAAAACAAAAATCACGAAGGATCTGCAGGTAAGATGGAAGTTGATGGAATATGTAAAATATTCAATCGTTCCATAGAAAAGCACAGTGTCCAATATGTCAGCTATATTGGGGATGGTGATACGAAAACATTTTCTGAATTGCAGAAAAATCATAACTATGGAAGTGATATTGTGTTGAAAAAAAATCGAATGTGTGTGGTCATGTACAGAAACGAATGGGTAATAGGTTGCGACAATTAAAAATCAATATGAGAGGAAAACAATTGGCTGATCATAAGCCACTAAGTGGAAAAGGTCGATTAACAGATAAAGTTATAGATCAAATCACAACGTACTATGGTAATGCTATTAGGAGCAACAAGGGATCATGCATGGATATGCGTAAAGCTGTGTGGGCTATATTCTATCATAAACGTTCTACCGATGATGAACCTCTTCACGAATTTTGTCCACAAGGTGAGAATTCATGGTGTGCGTTCCAAAGAGCAAAAGCTGCTGGTTCTGAGAAAGGATTCCAACACAAGAACAGCATGCCAGCTGCAGTGATGGACTGTATAAAACCTATATTTAAAGATCTTTCAGATCCCAAACTTTTGAAATGGCTGGGAAAACAATAAAAATATCATTCCTTTTTGATCTCACCGACGCGAGCCACGGAGGGGTTAATGGAATAATATTCTGTTGATGCTTTAAAAGGTCCTCAGTGCAACGATTTTTGGAGGACAATCCCAATATTTAATCAACAATGTTTTCTAATAATGCAAATATTCAATAATTTGTGTATATACAGGGTTATTCAAAAAGAAAGA